GACACCATTATATAAAGGGTCAGCTATCACAATCTGCATCTGAGTAACCCAAAAATGCTTGGGTGCACAGAATATTTGATTTCATTTTTAAGCTTGTATTAAGTGATGAACAGGCTACTACAAATTTAAAGGTTTGCTAGTAAGATATTAAACCGCTAAATAAACTGTGCTTCTATAAATTGATGCATTTTGATTACATTGCATACAGTTTCCGTAATTGTATGTAAAAGGTCTGTTGAAGCCAACGTGCCCCGTGCACACAAAATGGGCAATTCACCGACTTATCTGGGTCCATAAGAATAATTTTTCCAACAAGAAAACATCTTCCAGCTTCCCTTCCATGGAGCTCCTAAAACATCCAGGTTTTTGTGGAGCTTACTATGTCTAACTCGGTGAAGTAATTGCCTCCCTCTGGAGGGCAATACCACATACTATCAAAATGGGGTGTATAGTTTGTGTATAATCCATGTCTACTAGGGGGAAAAAGTATAGAGATAAAAGACCATGTAGATGAATAGCTAAAAGTCAGCCATGAAAAAAATAAAAATAAGGATAGAGAAGACCCAGGAAAGGAGGGAAGGGATAGAGATTGAAGGCTCATCATTGGATTACAGAACACGTAACATGGGCCTCCAATGCCATAATAGGAAGACACTGCTGTTATGTCCCAACTGCCAACAAAATTATATAAGCTAGGAAGAAGTCATAAACCATTGCATTCATTGTCCTGCTCTTCCCAATTCCTTTCTTGGTTACTATGAACAGGTTTTCACTTTCAAAAATGCACCAACATCTATATATGAATGCTAAACTTCGGCATGTGCTACAAAAACGCAAGTGCTTGTCCACAAATGTAGAAGGAGATTCGTAAAGAAATAATCGTAAAGAAAAAAAAAAAAAGGAATCCCTTAACCCTAATATGGGTTATTGGTTTGATAAGACAAAGAAATGCAGATTTGCCACAATAGGCCATTGTTAAGAAAATTTGTCAAGAGTAGTATGGTAGTATTTATAGTGTGTTGTTCAGTGCAAAGCAACAGCACAGCGTTTACACTGTAGCGTGATTAACAAAGTAGTGACATGCATTAAGGTGTGAGTACAGTGGGGGAGTGATTGGTCAAAGAACATTTGACTAACTGCAAGAGTTAAATATGCTCTTCTCTATTACCTGGCATACAACTGGGATCTTCTAGCTATTATGAATGACTTTCACTGCAGCAGCACTCCTCATTAATGGGTTTATGTTAGTACAAAGGCCACCCAAAGTGGCTTACATTTAAGGAAGCGTCATCCACCAAATCGACATATTATCCTTGATAATCCTTAATCGATTTTCGTATAGACCAAACTTATATATAAATGGCTTTTATAACATGGTTTCAAACAGGACGAGAATATAAACTATGGGCTCATGTTGACAAATGTTGTTTTTCTGCATTTGGAATGCACCTGAAATGCAAGACCTCAAAATCCTACTGATTTCAACTGAGCAGTACACATGGCAGTCCAGAGGCTGCTTTTGACCTGCTTTGTATTGTGCTGTATTTTTCTGGACGCAGCATGTCCTATTAAGGTGCATTTGGTCTGCAGTAAAGCTTTCTTGTCAAATGCTTTTGAGGCTGCATTTGTGTTCAAAGAGCAAACACAGTGTTTGAAAACAACGCTGTCAACATGAGCCCTTAAGGTGCCTATAGACATTAGATGTTAATCTCTGGAGGCCAAAGCCTCCCACTTTAGAAAACCTTGTCTGATCACTATGGTTTCTGCTTAATCTGTTTCTTTCCCCATCCTGCTCCAAAGACTAAAACACAAACACCCAATGCAATTGCAGAGGCTGGTCAGATTGTGCCTGCAAGTCCAACCACCCTTTGGTGTCCATTACAAGCTTAACAATCAATCATTTACAGTTTTGTAAATCCTATAAATTTGAAAGATTTTAAAACCAGTAAAATTCAGCCAATCTTATGGACAATATTGGTTGTATTCAATAAAAGAGTGCAAACAGCAAAGTGCAAAAACTCACATCAACCAATGCAGTAGAACATCTGACTGGTTGCAGTGGATACTTCACTATGAAGCCCTGATACGTATGGCTGATAAAGCTTTCTGTTGGGGATATTATGGTGATCTTAAATAAATATAGCACAAAACACACATCATATTTCACTCTACAAAAATGCCTGCTCATTTAGAAAATTACAGTACCTGTTTCAAATTTCTTTAACATGTATTTAGTTTACATTGTTACACATCAGCTAAAAATGAATTGTGATTGCTCACTGCACTTTGCAGTCTTCATAAAAGTTTCTGGTTGTCTCAATTAAAAATGCCAAACCATTTTAATGCTAAGATGACCTGATAGTCTTTTTTTTTATTGTTCTAATACTAGAACATAGTTTGATGTGAAACCACAACAGAATGACTTGTTTTCTGTAATAATTTCACCTAATGGTCCAAAGGCTTTGCATCTCTGCTTCATTCAACACCAACAGCAGAAGACATTTTGGGAAATATGAACATATTTTTTCATTATTATAGAAGTTCTCTTTTTCAATGTGGTTCCTGAAACATGAACATATTTAAGGATCTAAATAAGTCTGCTCATACATACAAGTCAGCACCAGCAACCCAGCATTCATGCAAGCAAGCATTAAAATGTGTCTAGATAAATGGCCAGTAGAAATGACATATGGCTGGAAGGCACCAGGAGAGGAGGTAACTTTGCCTCCCCCCAAATTTAACCCGGGATGAAGGAGACCCAACATAGGAAAAAAAGAAAATCCTAATACAGGATTATTGTTAACATTTCACAAAAGGAGAGAAAATAGAAAGAGGAGGGGGTCTTTTTGAAAATGTTTTTTTGCCTGCCTTTTTTTTCACTAGCACAGGTAGTGCCTTAACCTACCTGCACCTAAATGGGTCAGGCAAGTTGCATATAACACCATTTTATTCTTGCGGACACAACAAAAGCATAAAAGTCGTGTACCCCTCATAACACGGCTGATATTTTGAGAGAAGGGCCACGTTTTTTTTTTGGGCCCTTCCTTCTTGAAAACTTGGTGACAGCACACATGATTTCTGTCAACAAAGGTGGCTGCATGCTCACCGGACTTTTTGGGACACGGATACCAGCCCATATGCCTGCTGAGTCATGCTGTTATCTTATTTCATAAAAGTTAAAAAAAAATAAAAAGTAAAAAAATTACATTGCAGGAGAATGTTGGGCAGTGTGCTAGTGGAGTAGATTTTAAGAAGTCTGCTCATTTCTAATGCCCTAAAACCCACATAAACATTAAATGACAGTAATGTTAAATTGTGAATAGCCTAGACTGTAGAAATTTATGTGGTATGATCTAGTGGTACAAATGTTTTCATTCTGTATGAAGTCATTGTGGTTTGGTCTCGGAATACATAAATCTGGATGCAGAACCAAAGCCACTAAATACAAGAAGTGGTCTAGAAGAATACATTTAGGCAATGTTGGCCCTTCCCAGAAAGAAGGTGCTCTTTTCTTGAGAACAATGACATTAAGAGAGGATGGGCAGTAATTAGCAGTCTAGATGCTGTCAAATTTTACATCTCATGATGATGTTCTTAGTTTAAGCGAGAAATAAAGCTCAGGGCAGTTTTATTAGTGGGATGAAAAGTTCACTTTATCTCAGGTGGTATCATCTTGGCAGCAACACATCAGATTCCTGATGCTCTTGCAAGTCCCAAAATTGTTCCCTGCTCTGCTCTCCAACGTTCTTAGCAAATGCACAAATAACCACATGTCAACAGTGTCCTCCCTGCAAAAATTGTATGACCACCTCTGTGACTGCCAGTGACCAAAATAGGAGGTGTACTAATACGTTCTTTCATTGACAATTTTAGGCACTGGCAGAAATTTTCAGGCACATTGGCTACCTAGCAGCTGAGATTTGCTCATCCCTGCTAGTAGCAGTGTCTCTGACAGTCACCACCCTTCCGCAGGAAGGTATCAAAACAATATCACAACTTCATAACACTGCTTAGAACAGAGGAGTGTGCTGAAATAGCGGGTGGTAAAAATGTTGTCACAGTAGTGGTCTTTGCCTAGAGATGTAGAACAGGACACATCATTTGAAATAACAGTCAGGCCTAGATTATTGGCAATTCTTGGAAAGGTTGTTTAGGCTGGTATATGAGCTCATATGCACCACTCAGACTAAATATGGCCTTTTTTTGGCTGATACAGAAGAGCTGGAAATACATACTGGAAATACATACCGGTAAACATAAAATGATGTGGTCCAAATCCATAATTTGTAATGCCATGGCCGCTGTTTTGATTCCATCATACTCTGACCAGACTACGGGGAGACTGCCCATCCTAATCTTAATCCAAATAGTAAAGTAACAAAACCCTGCAGTCCTAACACAATGCATTCACAATGTTTGTTCAACCCCTATCTGCTTGTTTAATTGCAGTCATTTTTACATACCAGCATATGCCTTTCAAATATATACACTTTTTTTTTTACACTTTTTATACACCATATTGCATCCATCAACCCATTTTCTGACAGACAGAAAAGTAATCAAAAGAGATGCAATGCTACTGAAGAGTGTGCAAGGAGGAATATCATATACCAGGTATTTAGCTTCTAAGTGTTAGCTGGTGTATTGGATAGTGCCTGTGTTCATATGATAGAAATAGCTTTGGCTTCCTTTTCCTCTTCGATTTGTCCCAGTCACTGATGATGCCTCATGTTTTGTATTAGTCAACGTAGCACCCTTGTCAAGCAGAAAAGGAGGCCCTGGTGGAATGCTGAGTTATGGAGGAAGAAAGCAAGCAAGAAAGGAGATGTACAATGGCCTGCTCTCCAGAGGTCCCTCATGCTTTCTACATTTTGTGAGACTTATCAGTGAATAAGGGCCGTTTTTTGGGGGAAACAACAAAAAGGTTGGTGGGGGAAGATTCTTGTGAAGTTGTGTTAGCTCGTGCAACCACGTGGGAAAGCTACACAATTTCTCTGTTCTTTACAAGGCTCCATGCTGTGACTCATATTTTGACAGGATGTTTCGGTAGCGAGAGAGTTCTTGACGGATTTTGGCAACCTCCTGGCGCAAAACTGAATTCTCTTTCTCCAAAAAGGCTGCTCGCACCGTGATCTGGTTTTCCTTCAACCGACGAGCATCTCGAGAACGTTTGGCAGCTTCATTGTTTTTGTACCGCCGATTCCAGTATTTTTCATCCTGGAGATTATAAAAAAAGATACAAAATATGATCATGCTCTGCAATTATCTTGTTGATAATCATCATAAAAGACTACTTATAGCTGAAATGAGGCAAAAGATCCTTTTGGTTAAATATGTTCCTCAATAGCAAAAAGATATACAGTAGATCCACTTTTGTGCATCATGATGCCTTTGGAAACCTTGTACTTGAAGGGTCTTTAAAGGGATTAAACATGGGGAAATGTACATGTATTGCCCAGTTGCACACTTTAATGACTCTATATATATATATATATTATAT